ACCAGCATTCACCTTGATAATTATTATTGTTTAACGCTAGCATTCGCTCCGGACTACCAAAAAGGTCGTTTGGCATCCGTACACATATTCAAACTGCTCGACCGATTGCCCAAAATACTGGTCAATCAGTTCACCGGCGATACGCCGGACACGAGCGCCGGTAACGTGCGGTTCGATGGGCTGGAGTTCACGTACCCGACCCGACCCAACGTCAAGATACTGAACGGTCTGAGCTTTGATGTGTCCAAAGGCCAAACTGTGGCTTTGGTGGGCGCCAGCGGTTGCGGCAAAAGTACAATCATTCAACTCATGCAACGCTTTTACGACACCGATGGCGGCGAAGTGGTCAGTCATTTACGACCAATTTATTGCTATATTTATCATGTTCATTTATGTCATTTAAAAATGATTGATCCTATATTAAACTAGATACTGGATGGTAAAAACATACGTAACCTAAACATTCCGTGGTTGAGGCGTCGGTTGGGTATCGTATCCCAAGAGCCGGTGCTCTTCGGCTACAGTATTGGCGACAATATCGCGTACGGAGACAACGGACGGACAGTCGCCATGAATGAAGTGGTCGGTGCGGCCGAGAGGGCCAACATTCACGCATTCATCAAATCCCTGCCTATGGGTTACGATACGCCCGTCGGAGACAAAGGCACACAACTCAGCGGTGGGCAGAAACAGCGCATAGCCATCGCCCGGGCACTGGTCCGCGACCCGGAGATACTGCTCCTGGACGAGGCCACCAGTGCTCTCGATTCAGAAAGTGAACAGGTTAATTTAACAATTATCATGTTTAGTTTATTTACACTAAACGTAACTATACTAAACTTTATGCAAAATATTGTATAATGATTTTGCATTACATGAACAGGTGGTTCAACAAGCGCTGGATGAGGCCCGGGAGGTATGAATATTGTTGTTATTTATTATGTTAGTAGTTATATTAATCTCGATTATTTTTGTGTGTTTGGTATGGGTTAGGGGCGCACCTGTATTGTGATCGCACACCGATTGTCGACAATACAAACGGCGGATAAAATAGTAGTCGTGAGCAAAGGGGTGGCCGTAGAGGAGGGCACACATCACCAGTTGTTGTCCAAAAGGGGCGCTTATTATGAGTTATATAACGCCCAGAGCTTAACGCACTAATTATTGATTAATTAATTTTTTTATAACCATGTTGTATATATCTGTAACCATATGTTTTGGGGTATCAGATATATTGATCCCCGCGTTGGCGGCCAATTCATTAAATCATTATCACAACCATTTAATTATAAATAATACTAAATTATAAATTTTTTTATTAATCATAACTTATGTTGTATAAAATATATACTTAAATACAATAAATTAAAATAATTAACCAATATAATTTAGGGTAATTTGTGCCCGTTTTTCGTAATTATAAAATAATATACAGTATATTCAATGTACTATATTGCACATTTTTTACGTTCACATGATTGGAGCAATGTAATTTATAAATGACAATACAGTGATGTTAGTAGATTAGTGATAACATTTAAACTTGAAAATAATTTAATAGTACTGTGTACGCAAATACAGTCCAACTTTTCTATGAGAAACATTCACATAAAGTCTCAAAATGCCTCTTATATAGATGGTTATCCTAAGAGAATTTAACAGTATAAACAAAGGAACTATAATTTCAAAATATTCATTACAGTATAACATTTTTACGATGTTACATTTACGATGTTACATGTTATATGTTACACGTACAATTTATTATATACGATGTGTTTTATCATAAGAAGTTTGCCTTAGAAGAGCTGCACTGTACTGTCTTGTCTTGTACTTTATAATATGCCATAAACATTTTATAATTTATTTAATCAATATCATTGTCAATAAAAACTATGATAATAATGTTAAAATTAATAATAATGGTCTAATTCAAAAAACATGGCAATGAAAAAATATTTAAAAAATTAAGTAACACTGATGATTACAAATTACAAATAACACATGAAAGCCAGAAATTACTGTACCTAGATATAATTCAATGCCTAAAACTATAAAATAATTTTTTTTTTACTATTGAGAAGGTGTTAAAAAATATTTTATTAAATTCTATATGTATTCAAAAGTGCTATAAAAATATGTTTGAAAGTATCTGTGAGACACCAATTTGGGTATGAATTTAATTAATCATAAATTATTATATTGAAAATAATAGTTTTATAAAAATCTCTCTCTCT